CTCTTTCTCTATCTTGATGATATTTCTATGTGACTATGTGTTGTTTCTGAGGTTTGTCTCTGTCTCCCTCCCTCAGCGGCAGTGTTAGCTTGGTATCTCTCTCTAACCCTTGGGTGATCGCTAACAGTGGTATTTGAGGGCCTATGGACCTAATTATTAGTAAGTCATTTAGCTGCTCGTAGAAATCAGCTAGCTCGGGTTCAGACGTATGACATTCGTTCGTGCCAAGTGATTCTGCCCCTGATATGACATCAACCTTGCTATTTATCTTCCTTGCTAGAGATAAATACTTTGCATGGCTTCCTTGTCTCATGTCGTGATGTTTTTTAGTTGACCGCGAGACTTTTGTTGAGGTTGGCTCGCTCGAGCTTCCCTCTTCCGATACGGTAATGGCAATGAGTGTAAGTTCATCACGGCTTAGATCCTGCCTCAACTGTAGTGCTGACATCTTTTTCACCCTTCCTGACTGGCGGGTGTTTGTCTGGATAATCGTCGAGTTAGACCCTGTTATTACTGAACTTTTGGCTAGGGGCATAGGGATGACTTTGTGTTCTAGTAAGAAGTTCATCCCTAACACGATGTCGAAGTCATTCATCTTGACTATCACAAAGTCGGTTCGTCCCGTCCAAGTCCCCAATTTGATGGGAGTTCTCTTCGCAACTCCCAGTTCGTCTCGTCCATCCCTAACAATTTGATGCTGAATTGACGACCTTCATCTTCCCTACATCCCAATACCAAAGGATGTTCAAACGTTTTGCTTCAGTCTCCGTCATGAAGTTGTGGGTGGCTCCAAAGTCGACGATAGTGTTTCTGGCTGCTTTATGATTTACCAAAATCTCGACATACATAAGACCACGTTCCACTGGCTCTTCTATCTCTTCCACTCTCTTCTGAAGAGCGGACAAGTACTTAAGTGCCCCAACATGGGGATATCCAACCGTCCTATCTAACGGTGTTTTTGTTTCTACTGTTTCGTACTTGGCTTTTGAATTAGCTCGAAGTTTTGCTTAGAAGGCACATACTGCTGCCTTCTATGAGCATTCAGATACCTTACACATGAAGCAAGAGGGGGGGTCGTTGCTTTGACTCTAACTAGTCTATTTGTATGGTCTCCGCCAAGGAGCCCTACATCTATGTTGGGAGGATTCATATTCCTCCTCGTCTTCGGAGCTATCACTTCCCCCACTTCTAGGGGAGTTTGGTCGATAATTCTCATTTTCACAATTTGTGGATGCTCGATTCTGCCCCATCTCTGAGGTTTCATCACTATCAAGATCAAACAATCGTTCAGCAACAACATAGGCTGTGGAAAGGGATTGAACTCTTTGTTTGTAGAGTTTGGTTTTCACTCACGGCTTTAGCCCCATAATAAAATTGAAGATCTTGTTTGTCTCGGACATATCACGAATATCTAACATAAGCCCAGAAAACTGCCTAACATAGTCTCAGATACTGCCTGTATGTCTCAGCTCTCTTAATTTTATTCTGGCTATTATCTCGACATTACCCGAGAGAAACTGAGAGCGGAGTTCTTGGTTCAAGTTATCCCAAGTGTTCACAGTACATCGACCATCTTGAATGTCCATGTACTTGGACCTACACCATAACTTTGTGTCATTGGCTAGGTGCATTGTCGCCAACGTTACCTTCACTTCCTCTGCCATGGTATTTGTGGCTAGGAAGTATTGTTCAAGGTCGAAGATAAAGTTCTCTAGAGCCTTGGCATCTCGAACCCCACAGAAGGGTTTGGGCTCTAGAACCTTTATCTTGTTAAATCGTGCTACACCCCCAGTTGGGGTTTGGTCCCCCACCGCTCTCATAGTGAGCTTTAGTTTGGTGCTTAGATCCGCCACTTTTTGAGTCTTCAGACAATTTTGAGACCATCTGGATGATCGTCAGTTGAGCATTGTCAAAGCCCTCGGCGCGTTCCTCCGTTCGAGCAACAGAGCCCATCAAACAATCTCCACGTTCAAAGATACTAGCTCTTGTGGCCTTGCCTTCTAGGGCCTTGACCCTAGTAATTAACTCAAGGATAGGCATTGTTTCAAGGTGGCATGTCATCTCGTTGAACCTGTCGGCCTTAGCGGACATCTCATTCATGCGAGATTCCAAAAGCCCCATTTCGTCGGGAACTTCACTCATGCAGAGTAACTGTTCTTCGATTTTAGCTAATCGATCAGCCTGGAACTTGTCTAGTTGTTTCTTGGCGGGCATGTCTGCGTAGTGGATTCCAAGAAGCCGAATTTGGCTTTGATACCACTTGTCATGATCGCACTTTGATGGCAGCGGACTTACGATTGTGCGGCACTGACTTCCTAGCAACAAGTGAGTTAAGCCTATTCGTTCTTGTGTCGCCTACGGCCAACCAACGTATGCTCGAGCCTCTGCCCCAGTTCAAGAAGAAAGTTTTAGAAAACGGGGGCAGAGAGATTTCAAAAGAGAGTTTCGAAAGCAAGATTTGAGAAATTGAAATTGGTGTTGTATGAGAATGTAAGCAAAAGGCAACAACAACGACTTACTGCATATAACTATCGGGTAGGGAGAAGTTGACAACTATTCATATCCCCCTATAGTACATTTTGGGGTATTTTTTCCCAGGCAGGTGTAGACGTGATTCTGGTGAACGGTCATACACCCTCGTATTGACCCGATATGAAATGGTAAAGGCCTATCTAAGATGAAAGCATGAAAAAGGGGCTTGGAACGGGCATGCAACCATAGGCAACACGCATTGGACAAGCATGACCGTGATACTGAGCACCCTAGGATCATTAACAGCGATCAGAGATCTAGGTGCATCTCAAATTTGGCTTAGCTACGAGGAGATAATCACGAGCGATCTGGAAATGTTTGTTGTGACCAAATCCGTCTAGACGTCATAGAATCTGATATATCTCAACGACACTCAAGATATACTACGTGAGTAGACGATATAAAGAGCTACCACTGTGTGTATAATAACCTGCCTTGAGAAGGGACGAAATATTACATTAGTGGATGACAAGAGAAATTGCTACTATTTTTACAATAACCACAATGAGAGTGGATGAGGGACTATATAAGTAGATAACATGAGGAATCATTATTGTGTGTATGATAACCCGCCTTTAAAGGGGATGAGGGACTAAACAAGTAGATGAATGAGGATATAATATTGTGTGTAGAATAAACCTGCCTAAGAGTGGACGAGGGACAACATAAGCAGTATAGTGAGAAGCTACCCTTGTGTGGGGATGAAACCTGCTCTATGAGGAGATGAGGGACTCTACACAAATAGAATAACTTGTGATAGAAACTAGTGTGGTGTGAGGTAACTAACATTCATGGGATACCTCAATTAGGGTAAACTTCTTAGGACTCTAGGACAAGCTTGTGGAAAAATATTAGGTTAAGAGGGCAATGAGAGCCTACATATAGGCTGCTTATTGATTATTTTATAATCACCACTTTTCCTTTTTCTTTTTTTCTTTATTCTTTTATTTCCATTATCTTCTTTTTGGTGTGGTCTGATTTCTCAAAACCTAAAAAATCGCACTATATATCTTATAATTTGTTTTATATGATTTGAAAGCAATGAGTGGAAGATTGATAGATGAGGTGAAAAGAGAGATTTAGATAACAAGGTTTATTTCATTGATTAGGTGAAAAGAGAGATTTAGATAACAAGGTTTATTTCATTGATTGATGTTGAGTAGAGAGAAAGACATAAATACAATAAACTAGATCATCACATACTCATGTCTTTTCTCCCACTTGCCCAAGCTTACATAACTCATAGACCTAGACTCACTAGGTGCCCTTCAAACACTTTAGCCGTGAGGGGCTTTGTAAATGGATCAACAATGTTGTGCTCTAAAGCTATCTGTGTGACGATCACATCTCCTCGTTGCACAATCTACCTTATTAGATGATATTTGCGCTCAATATGTTTTTCTCGCTTATGGCTTCTTGGTTCTTTTGAATTTGCAACTGCTCTACTGTTATCACAATAAAGAGTGATGGGAAGATGCATATCTGGAACGACTTCCAAATCAGTTAAGAACTTCTTAAGCCATACAGATTCTTTCGCTGCTTCACAAGCAGCAACATACTCAGCCTCCATGGTGGAATCAGCAATGCAACCCTGCTTTATGCTTCTCCATATTATTGCTCCTCCGTTCAGAGTGAAGACAGATCCTGATGTTGATTTTCTCGAATCTACATCAGTCTGAAAATCTGAGTCAGTGTACCCTGTAAGGATTAGATCCTTAGCACCGTACATTAGCATATAGTCCCTCGTTCTCCTAAGATACTTGAGGATATTCTTAATGGCAGTCCAATGAGCACGTCCCAGATTGGACTGATATCTGCTGACAATTCCCGCCTTTAGAGGGGATGAGTGACTAAACAAGTAGATGAATGAGGATATAATATTGTGTGTAGAATAAACCTGCCTAAGAGTGGACGAGGAACAACATAAGCAGTATAGTGAGAAGCTACCCTTGTGTGGGGATGAAACCTGCTCTATGAGGAGATGAGGGACTCTACACAAATAGAATAACTTGTGATAGAACTAGTGTGGTGTGAGGTAACTAACATTCATGGGATACCTCAATTAGGGTAAACTTCTTAGGACTCAACTAGTGTGGTGTGAGGTAACTAACATTCATGGGATACCTCAATTAGGGTAAACTTCTTAGGACTCTAGGACAAGCTTGTGGAAAAATATTAGGTTAAGAGGGCAATGAGAGCCTACATATAGGGTGCTTATTGATTATTTTATAATCACCACTTTCCCCTTTTCTTTTTTTCTTTATTCTTTTATTTCCATTATCTTCTTTTTGGTGTGGTCTGATTTCTCAAAACCTAAAAAATCGCACTATATATCTTATAATTTGTTTTATATGATTTGAAAGCAATGAGTGGAAGATTGATAGATCAGATGAAAAGAGAGATTTAGATAACAAGGTTTATTTCATTGATTAGGTGAAAAGAGAGATTTAGATAACAAGATTTATTTCATTGATTGATGAAAGAGCACAAGTATGCATAATTCATTTCATATAGAGTAGGTAGGAGAGGGAATTAGTTGGGTTGGCAAAGCTTGTAAGATTTGCATTCCCAAACGCCAACGAGCGGAACATAAACTTCACATTCATAATATTGAGCTATCCATACGCCATTGATTAAGGCCTCCACTTCCATCTTAAAGT